ATATTAAGTGCTTAGATATACTGAATCATGATCTATACAAAATTTCATTAATATCTTTGGGTATTAATTTAATAGAGTTTTAACAACTGTTACCCTAACCTTTAGTGGTGCTCCTATAATTTATAATATAGACCTAGAACTCTCATGAATTTACAGTAAGGTATCTAAATTGCTGGAATATGCTATATAACAAATGCATCAAACACTGATATCCTGAGTTTCCTAAATACTTCATTTGCAAAGTTTTTTTGTTTCACAGCATCATTGAAATTCTCAAAACCGATAGGTGAGATTTTTGGGGTGAGCTAGTTTTTATACTCTGCTTTCTAAGTTTCCCCAGCAACTGTTGAATTTGAAGATGGTCCTTCTCATCTTATATTGTTTTGTACCTACCCATGTTGACCCTGTTCTGGCAGCAATGCTTACACTTCTTACCTTGCAAGAAGCCATCGGCCCTTGCGTTGGCCTGCTTTTCACAATATTGATGTGTATAGCAAAACTTGCCCATATTTTTCCTTTATGGGAGTGTGATGGGCGTGAAAGGGAAACCGAAATTCTTCCACTGATAGAGTATATATTATTTTCTTTCTTCTTTTTTAGAGATTTTCCTCTTTTTTTTGGCTTTTGCTTCACGGTCCCCATTCCAAGTGTTAATGACTCTACTCAAGTGTTGAATTACAGACTCATCTCATTACAGGTCCTGTAATCAAATCTTTAAGAAGACATGTTATCTTACCTAATCCTCAAAACAAGCAAGTATATTAGTCGCAAATGCTCTAGAGCTGTGCTGAACATTAGAGTAACCACTAGCCACGTGTGGCTATTGTGCAGATGAAATATGGACAGTTCAAAATGAGATGTGCTATAAGTGTAAAATACATGCCATAGTTTGAAGACCTAGGATGGAAAAAATATAAATTATGTCATTAATACATTTTTGTATTGATTACATTGGAAATGATAATATTTTGGATACATTGGGCTAACTAAATGATATTATTAGAATAAGTTCACCTATTTCATTTTTCACTTTTTTAATGTGGTTATTAGAACGTTTAAAATTAGAAATGTGGTTCACATATTTTTATAGGACATCACTGCTCTAAAAACTGCCAGACTCTTTCTCTACAGGAAAGAATCTCAGGCTTTTTGCTTAGAATTACAAATACTTGAAGATTTTTTTTCTGGGTGTGTGTGTGTGTAAAACTTTCAACTGCCTTGAACAAGATAAACAGATACCAGGTGGGTTCCTGAAAATTAGAAGTGCAGTTGGCCTTGTTCACAAACAAGCTAAAAGGGATAATTAGACCACAGTAAAAAGACTGAATAAAGTTAAAAAAACGAAAGAAAAGAACAGGACCTAGGTAAATTAAATCAATGGAATTATATCAATGTCTAGGATGATAAAGTGCAACAAGAGAGGAACAACCATGGCTGCAGACAGGGAAGGACATGCTGGGGGTAGTGTGGGAAAGTTCATGATGGAGGGGCTGTGCTACTGCATGTTACCCTAGGGGTGAGATGATTGGAAGAAAGGTAGGTAGAGCTGCTGTAACCAGTTATCTGCTTTGGAATCCCAGATCTTTCTAGTTAGGGTGTGGCTCTGCTCTCAGTCCTCAGAACAGCGGTGTGAAACAGACAGTAAATACAATGAACTCCATCAAACTGGAATGGCCATGTTACTGGACGCATGATCGCAGAAGATGGTCAAGGCCATCTTGACCAGAGAAGTCTCTTGACCAGAGAAGTCTCTGGTCTTTATTATTTCTGCTATACCCATGAGGACACTAAGGTTTAGAGCAGTTAAGTCACTTGCTCAAATCACAAAGCCAGGAAGAGACAAAGGTAGATTTTTTTAAGCCAGTTCTACCTGACTTTAAATCTCACTGTTACCTTCTGTGCTCGTCCTCCCCTGTCAAAGAGGATATAGTTCCTGCCTTTAAGTAACTCTTAGACTAGTGAAGAAATATTTAATTTGTTATTTTAAATTACAAATTATTTATTACAAATTGGACTTTATCCTTTTTGGTTAGTTTGCTGTACCTTTAGAGACACAGTTTTGACTGTATTATTTAAAACTTCTGGGAATGTGAAGTGACCTAGTGTAGTTTGTAGGCAGAGAAGTTTCATGTCTTGTCTTTGCACAGCAACAGAAGAGCTTAAGGACCCACCTTTGTGATCACATTGGCCTAGGGAACATTAATGGTGTCTGTGGCTTAGAACAAGATGGTTCTAATTATAGTATTTGGTGTTAATTCTTCAGTTCACCAAAATGATTGCTCCAATAGTGTCTATCTCTTTCTTGCTTTCCCTTCTCCTTTAGATCTGATTTTGTTTTAATCAGATTCTGTTCTCACTTTTCCTGATTTTAATTGTGAAGGACTGAGTCTTATTCATCTCTGCAATATCATTGCTTAGCCCAGTGTCTAGCAGTTAGTTGATGCTTTGTCATCCATTTGTGATGTGAACACATTTCTATGCAGTAAAGATTCAAGAAATAGAAATTGACTATCTTTTAAGGGCTAGGCACGATGCTGGGGATAGAATAGTGCATATGGTTGTATGCCATACTTACAATCTGATGGGAAACAATGACATACTAGTGTGACAAACCCTGCCCTTGTATAAGCATAGGGTGCTGTGGGAACACCTGGACTGGTAAAAATCTGAAAGATTTCCAGATGAAGTACTATTTAAGCTGAAACATCAGGGAAGCAGTAAACAAGGAGAAAGGATTAGGGGACTGGTGGAAAAGGAAAGGCATTCCTAGCTAAGAGAACAACAGGTAAAGACATTCTGGACCTGCAATTTTAGTTTGGAGTTTGGAGGGTATAGTGGGGGGAGGAGGTGAGAGTAAGAGGAGTATGGGGATGGAAGGGATTAAGGAAAAATATTCAATCATTGTTGAAAGAATTATTTTAAAAAGCAATACATCACACAGAGAAATTCACTAAGAATTTCTAAGATGATTCATTTAGAGTACACGTTTTAGACCATTTTGTCTCATGAGCATACTTTATGTAATTAAAAAGAATAAAACGGATTTCAACCTGATAACATTGGAGACCTTATATTCATATGTATATGAATGCATATGTATTATACATCCACTTCATTATGATTCTATGGTCTATAACATACTTATCATTAGGGACACTTACCTCATGATAAACGGGCTTCATTAGTAGTGGTTCAAGGCTTTATTATTTATTCATCTATAGAGATTATAAATCTTCTATTAATTCATTTTTCAGAAACTATTACTTTTCATTTCAGATATTTTCTGATGGTAGCTTTTAAGTGAAGAAGGCTAAAATCAATTCTACTTCTTAATCAGTTTATAAATTTGGGGGGAGGCAATAGGTTTGAATACGAGGATTGCATGAAGATGCATAATGTACACCAGGTTTTAAGTCTTAGAACTTTGGTAAATATATTGTATTCTTTCATTAGTGCATTTTCAGTCTCAGGTAATCTAACTTCAAAACTGATATAACATTTTCTGGGGATGTGGCTTATAAGGATCAATGAATTAAATATAGTTTTTAATACTCCAAATAACAATTTATTAATTATTTATAAAAATTAGAGGTTACAACTGTTATCTCAAATCCAGTACTTTTGTGTGTGTGTATGTGTGTGTGTGTGTGTGTGTGTATGTGTGTGTGTGTGGTTGATTCAGAGTGAAGGAATCTTAAGTAGGCATTTAGAATTTTTAAAAAGATGTGAAAATCTGTACATTATTTTGTTAATGGATAAGGTTCATCTATAATACTATGATAATTTTTGAAGCAAACTACTTGTATAGCAGTGTAGTCTTTTCACCTTTGTACTTTATAAATCAATGATTCTTTATGTTTCTGAACACAAAAGGATGTCCCAGGATGAATAGCCACAAGAACGGAGTTCCTCATTTGCATCTCTATCCTCACTATCACAAATAATGCTGATCTTACAGCCTGTACCTGTGCTGTATACAAATGGAAATTAAAGTGAACTTAAATTCATATAATTTTCATTTATGCCCTGACTCTTACGGTTAGATTACTAATAAAACATAAGCCATTTCTCTTGCCCTGAAAGCTGAAAGGGAAATGAAGAGATTAATCAGAGGATAGAGCAGGATCGGAAACTAGGAGCAAATAGAGTAAGTTCCCTCCCTGGCTTTGTCCCTTCCTCCAAAAATATCTATTAAGCATCTACTATGAATCAAATACTGAAGGGATGAAAGGAGAGAACCGTCACGTTACCACAATCTTTTATTAGTTTTGTGAACCGAAAAACAGATTTCAGTTTTAAAAATTTTCAACTATTTGTAGCACATGCAGTTAAATATGCAATCAGGACGTCTGAATGTAATCGAGGTTCCGGCATTTCGCCCTTCACTTCAAAAACTATGCTAAAACCACTACAAGAGATTCACCCCCCCATGTAGTTTTTTTGGCAATCAAAGTCCTCACGCCAACATTTGTAGTAATTTCAGATTGGCACCCTAGCATTTCCGTTATAACCCAACCCGCTACCCCACTTCCCACCTTAATGCAAGATTAAAAAAAAAAAAAGATAGTTTTACTGGGCGAACAAGGGCAAGGGAGGAAGGAAGGGACGGACGGACGGACGGAAGGGGGGAATGAAATGGATGAAGGAGAGATGCTGTCCTTTTTCCCGTTTGTTTTCGGTTCCCTGCCCTCTTCTTCCCATCTCCACGCTCGCTGTCAAGTAGCATCACCTCCAGGCTCGGCCCTCGGTCCTTCCCCCTAGCGTCGGAGCCCCGCAGCCGGAGGCTGGCACCTATCTCTTTAAATGACAGCTGTGGCTCGGGTCCCAGTCCCGGGCTTGACGTCAGCGCCGCTTCCCCGGCTACGAGGAGTAGTTTGCGCCACAGTCCGCGCTCGGGGCTCGCGGCGCGCTCGCAAGCTGCTGGGGCGGCGAGTTTTCTTTGCTCCCGCCCCTCCTCCCGCCCTCCCCGCGGAGAGCCGAGCGGCAGCTTAAGAGCCTCTCGCAAGTCTCTCACACTTCCCCGCCGTCGCCCCCAAAGGAGCAGCCGCTCCTCCTCGCGCCGCCGCCGCCGCCGCCGCCGCCGCCGCCGCGGCGTCCGCAGAGCTCCTCTCCTGCACATCGCTCCCCCGATGGAGCCCGGGCGCCGCCGCCGCTGCCCCGAGCCCTGAAGCGGGCCTCCTCGGCCGGAGAAACGTGCCGCTCGGCCCGAGGGCGCATCAGGGGCACGCCACTGGGGGTGTAAGGCGCGGGTTTCGGGAAGGAGAAAGTGCTGCTCTCCAGGGTCACTTGGCCAGCGGCGGGGGGGGGACCATGGCTTTGAAGGACACGGGCAGCGGCGGCGGCACCATCCTGCCCATTAGCGAGATGGTCTCCTCGTCTAGCTCGCCCGGCGCGTCGGCAGCCGCCGCCCCGGGGCCCTGCGCGCCCTCGCCCTTCCCCGAGGTGGTGGAGCTGAACGTAGGGGGCCAGGTCTATGTGACCAAGCACTCGACGCTGCTCAGCGTCCCGGATAGCACTCTGGCCAGTATGTTCTCGCCCTCTAGCCCCCGGGGCGGCGCCCGACGCCGGGGCGAGCTGCCCAGGGACAGCCGGGCGCGCTTCTTCATCGACCGGGACGGCTTCCTCTTCAGATACGTGCTGGATTATCTGCGGGACAAGCAGCTCGCGCTGCCGGAGCACTTCCCCGAGAAGGAGCGGCTCCTGCGCGAGGCCGAGTACTTCCAGCTCACCGACCTGGTCAAGCTGCTGTCGCCCAAGGTCATCAAGCAGAACTCGCTCAACGACGAGGGCTGCCAGAGCGACCTGGAGGACAACGTCTCGCAGGGCAGCAGCGAGGCGCTGCTGCGCGGGGCGGCGGCCGCAGCGCCCTCGGGTCCCGGAGCGCACGGGGGTGGCGGCGCACCGGACAAGCGCTCCGGCTTCCTCACGCTCGGCTACCGAGGCTCCTACACCACGGTGCGTGACAACCAGGCGGACGCCAAGTTCCGGCGCGTGGCGCGCATCATGGTGTGCGGACGCATCGCGCTGGCCAAGGAGGTGTTCGGAGACACGCTCAACGAGAGCCGCGACCCTGACCGGCCGCCCGAGAAGTACACGTCGCGCTTCTACCTCAAGTTCACCTACTTGGAGCAGGCGTTCGATCGCCTGTCTGAGGCCGGCTTCCACATGGTGGCGTGTAACTCCTCGGGCACCGCCGCCTTCGTCAACCAGTACCGCGAAGACAAGATCTGGAGCAGCTACACGGAGTACATCTTCTTCCGTAAGTTCGTGGTCTCCGAATTTCCCAGTTCTCCCGCCCCCTCGCCGACCCGCGGCGGGTTCCAGCGCGTCTGGTGTCTTTGTGTGCCTCCCCTATCGCGGCAGACACGATTTACGGTTTCGTGCCCTGCGATCTCCCTTTTGGCTCTTCTCTTCAGCAACTCAGGAGCACGCAATTCCCAAGCAGTCCTCTTTCTTAACTTTATTGATCTTGCCCTCTCGCCCCGCCCAGCTCTTGGAGCCTCTGGACACCCTTCTACTACCGAGGGCGGGGAAAAGACAGGGGCACAAGGCTGGGCGCGTAGGTCCCCTTCCTTCCCTCTGTCTCCGTGGGACTCACGGGGGTCAACTTATGTGGGTCCCAGTGGTGTCCCTCCAGAGGGCGGGTTGGCATCAAGGTACCGCGGCGCACGCCAGGTTTACCTCCGGTTGGTGCGGGTCGGCGCTGGAGCATTCAATTATGGGTGGTTGCGGAAAGGGGCAACAAGAGAAGTGGGGATTGTGCCTCCAAAGCCCCTCAAGGGCCCGGGGGGAAAGAGGTTTCCATTGACCCATTAAAAACCTCAGATTTCTCTCGCGCCAGTTGTCTTCTGTAACGGTTAGGGGTTTTGAACAGAGAAGGGTGGAGGGAACGGGCTTTGGTGGTCTGAGTGCTGTCAGAGTTGGACATGAGGAAGGGAAGTGGTGTGTATGCGCCTGTGTGTGTGCGCGCGCGCGTGTGTGTGATTGTGTTTCCTTTCTGGGCGCCTCCAGTGCGAATGAGGGATTGAATCCACTTTCCCAGGGGGAATAAACGTAGTGATTTTCTGAACTGAGAGAACGAGGGAGTGGATTGGAAAGCATCTGGCGCAATGCCTTTTGTAGTGCACTTTGGCGGGGGCGGTGGGGGGGCGGGTTCTGTGGGTCAAGTTCAAGAACTCCACCGACTAGCGCTGAGGCTTGGGGGATGGGGAACCGGGGCGGGGACAATTCGCAGTGACGTTTATAAAGTGAGGAGGGCCGCAACTAGAGAGCTATGTGGACAAATGGAAAGCCATCTGGGATGGGAGCAGGAACATCATTTGGCAAATGTTTTTTCTTTCTCAAGACACAAGAAGATTGAAAACTTGCCTGTAGTGTTAGGGAGAGTAGCACTGACAGCCTATGTATAAGCCCAGCTTTAATTGCATTTATTTATTAAGTAATTCACTAACTGTTTGGAATCCAGGCAATTTTTTGCACTTTATTTTGACTAGGGAAGTGGAAAGGACCTCTCTTTGCACAGGCGTGAGATTGATTGGAAGTTGCTCATTGTTTGTGTATTCTAGTAACCTTGGAGGTAAGGGTGACAAAACACAGCACACTTAGTGTTAGATTGTCTTTTTTAATAGTGCTGGTTTTCCTAAGAAAACCATTTCAACAGAGAAGCAAAGAAAGTGTCCATTGAAGTGGTAGATAAAAATCTGATTTTCTTAGAGAAAGACAAATATTATATCACTTGTATGTGGAATCTAAAAAATAATACAAATGAATCTATATACAAAACAGTAACAGACTCACAGACATAGAAAAAAAAGGTTATGGTTACCAAAGGGGAAAGGGGGGAGGAATAAATTAGGAGTTTGGGATTAACAGATACAAATAACTATACATAAAGTAGATAAGCAACAAGGATTTACTGTACAGCACAGGCAACTGTATTCAATATCTTGTAATAACCTGTAATGGAAAATAATCTGAAAAAATATATATAACTGAATCACTTTTCTGTGCACCTGAAACTAACACAATAATGTAAATCAATTATATTTCAATAAAAAAATCTAATAAGATTTTTTATTCTTAATTATATGAAAGTATTATTTGTTACACAGTAAAAAGATCACAATAGTCAGAAAAGCCACCCAAAGGAAAGGACCTTTATTGACACTTCAGACCTTAAACATTTATGTCATTTATATAATAGATATATTTCCAAGCATTTCAGAAGATGAGAGGAAATGAACTTTTGACTTCTTTTAGTGATTTTTAGTGGTTAGTGATTTTTGTTAGAGAAGGTGTAAGCATAAGTGTTCTGCAGTTAAGGTTCTTGAATTTTGGATTCTTTTGCAGTTTTGGTCTTTCTTTTCCCCCTAGAAACTTGCGGACTTGAAAATGCCTGGTACTTTGATTATGAAGAAATAATACAGGTTGTCTTTAAATTATGAAAAATACTCATAAAATAGTGTACTGAAGTTGGAAACTCAGCCAATTTAAGTCGTAAGATGATTTGAGAGATGCTTAGAATTCAGGATATTTCACTTCTGGAGCTAGAGGAAGTGAAAGAAAATAAAATATTTATATTATGAATAATGACTTGCAGAGTATTCACATAACAAATGAGTTCTGAGATTCATTGATAAAAGTCCCAGAAATCTAAGGAAGCAACTCAAAGCCTTTTTCATTGATTATCCTGCGGGGGAAAATACACAATTCCAGATTAAATATGGTTCTTGTGAAGTGGTATTCCAGTTGACCAACCAAATGTGGTTGCCGCTTTTTATTTGTCATATAAAATTTATCTCGAACACTGTTATATATACATTTATTTTATGTTTTGTATAGCTTGCAGCACATTTTCACAAATTATTTTGTATGGGATTCCATTTAAATTGGTGAATGAAAATTCACTGTATTTCCATCCTATTTAGTGAAGGTAATAATGTTAACTATTCAGTGTAGTTATCTTGTTTAGCAATCTCTATTTTTAAAAGACTACCAGTGTTATTCATACAAACAAAATCATTAGATGAACTTGTTTGTCCACCGTTTCAGATGCAGAGGGCCTTATTATCTTTTATTTCTCCTTTGACACAATTCTTTCAAAACATTTTTTTTAATGTATAACATGTATCAGTCATTTTAACACCTTTTAAAGGTGAACTTAGTAGTTTGAAGCTGCTCTAAGAAGTGTAGAATTGGTTTATACACTTGAACATCAATTTCAGCTCTTCACTCCCCCCACCCTTGCACCCAGCTTCCCCCTGAGTTTCTGTAGAGATGGGAGGAGAGTGGCAAATGGTTCAGTAATCCCAGATACTGCTATTTGCCAAATGCGTGATCTTGACTAAATTATTTTAGTTTCCTCACCTGTGCAATGGAGATTATTATAGTACGAATTTTATTGAATTTGAGAATACATGTAAAGTGCTTGGACCAGTGCTTGACCTATAATAAAAGCTTAAAAAATGTTAGCTGTTACAATTATAGTAAAGACTTTTTCTTGTCAGTATTAAATTTAAATTTTGTTTTTAGTAAGTATAGTTGATTTACTTGTAAAGTTAATTAGAAAATTATTTTGCAATTAAATGATAGCATAATAAACTTTCAGAAGTTTGAAACTACCAATTTAATAACCAGATTCTTCCCTGGAACTTGGATTTTTCAGGCCAAGTTTGAGTCACCTAGGTTTGCCAATCACACTCCAGTTAGTTCTTTTGGATCAACTCCAACAGAACCTTTTTCTGATTCAGGGCCAAGAAGTGTTTTAATACTCTCCATTAGGAGTTGAAACTTTGGCAGTATTTTCTCACAGACTCTGAGCTAGATTCATATCTCCTTAAGTACTTGTATCCACATCACTGGGTTCTAATACTCAAGGTGATATACAGGCTATTAAAGATTTAATATCAGCTTCATTTGGCTACATGGACACTTTGATCTATTATCAGTCATAACTCATAGTTTTATCAAGATTTTAGACTCTGCAACATATACTAGTACTATTAAATTCCATATTACTCCACTAGTACTAAAGATGGATTGTCCTTTCTTGAAGGAAAACAGTGATTTATTGTGTTTTCTGTTTTTTGGGGGGTGTCTGTTAAGTGTAATTGTGGCTCTTTTTAGCAATATCTCAGAGACGAAAAAAGGCATTTTGTGTTGGCATTGTATTACATAGACAGTAGCTATCTGCTTGGAATGTGATATGTAGACTACCCATAATTAAAATGAGCATTATATATATCCTTTATTTCTCATAAACAGTGTGTTTACAGAAAGGTAGTACTGATTCACTGCTCTTCTCTTATAGTGCTTTGAGTTTTGCATTCTGTGTTGGTTGAATAATACGTGGTGTGAAAGAATACATTTCTCTAGGTGCATTTGATATTCCTTAAATTTGGTACAGTCTTTTTTGTTGTGATGTATGAGAATGCCCGATATAGGACCTAATGCTATTACTGAACTGGACTGTGAATTCTAATCTGTCTTAATGGATTTTTATATACACTCTTTCAAATACATTCTGATTTATTTCACTGTGTTTGGTTGAAGAAAGCTAGCTGAGTTGAAAATATTCAAACAACTATTCAATCCTATGTTAGCAGGCCTGTTGCATTAAAAGCTTTCTAAGAAACGTCTTTAAAAAGTCATTCTATTTAGATGCATACCTTTAAAATTATATATTATTTTCTAGTCCAAAAATACTTCTACTTTTATCAACAAACACTGTTTTATGGAAAATAACTTTGTTCCTTCTTATTTTTTTTTTTAAAGTTGGTTCTTTTCTTCTTGGAGACTTACTAGTCATTTTTATAATTATCATGGAAAAATTTCTTCTGCAACCACATGGCTGAATGACTTTTGAATCGACAGGGAACAGATAACTTTGTAAAACACCAAGATTCTTATTTCATGCAAATACAATATTTGCAGTAATAAAGCAGACAGAAAATGACAAAAACCTTGGAGTGCAAAATGTTTGGAAGCCATGCCATGGCATTGGTTACTGTTTAAGGGCATTAAACTTTTATGTCTGGCATAGTACTGTCTCTAAATTTGATCTTTTAAAATTATGTTATGGCTTTAGTTTTCTCTGCCACCCTTTCTACAGCTTTATGTGGGTCAATCCTGAAGCATATAATAAAGCAAAAAGACAATGGCACTCCAAGCCTCATTTGGCAAGTTCTTTCTCTTTTGTAGCTTAGAGTAGAAGAACTCACAATGAGTGTGTTTGTGTGCCTTAGTTAAAAAGAAAAAAAA